CCTTCAAGTGACCACCATAAGTGGTGCGATACTTGTTAAAGGCCATCTAAGCTCAGGTAACCTTTTGACTGAGTAAAGGAAGGTCGATTATGCTGGGCAGAAGAACTTCCGGCTTCAAAGCAGGCGTACGAGGCATGGCGGAATTTTCCTCTCACCTATAGGAGTTTGACCTCGTGATGTTATTGCATTCTCTCTGCTAGATGCAATTATAATCCTGTCTGGACTGCAGTTTCTATCATGCCTGAGTCTCATCAACAAGTTCCATGGGGTTTCCAATCGGTTTATTAGTGGATCATAGGGCATATGAGACTTTCAAGGTAGCCCAGGCCTTACGTAAATCACATAGTGGGAGTACTGATGAAGCAAGCATGTATTTGGCATTGCATTCGACGAAATTACTTGTTCAGAATGAGTATGCATAGGATCCTTGTGAAATTCTTTGATGAGAACGACTATCTTGAGTTTTATAGGTGAAGCCGAAAATAAAGTCCATCCTGGAGAAAAAAACTTTTGGAAGAAAAGCAAAGTGAAATCCGATAGTATCAGCAGGCTTCACTCCATTTCTTCCTTCCTTGCTCTGCTGCGCCACTTCGTTATTATTCTGTCTGCATGGCAGGAGTGTGAAATCCGCTGTTTTCGTTGTTTAGGCTCTAAAAGCCTGACTCTGACTACCGGATTGAAAAGACACATCAATTTTTGATTCTGACAACCAACGCCTCTTAGGTGGGCGTTGACTAATTTAAGCATTTTAGCTGCTAAGTGATTAGATGCTTGGTGACGGCCACTGGACGAGCTAATAAAAAACGCTCTCATAAACTGACAATGGGTCATTCATCGTTTGGTCGTCAGGCGTGAATTGACGAATTGATTGGCTTGGCCTCATTTTCGCAACCCACCAGTGCTTTCGAGGAGATTTCGAAAAAGGTCACGTTCTGAATCTTCAGTCATTTTCGCCTGATCTTCTTCCAGCCTCTGAAGAGTGATTGATAGGGTGTATTGCCAGAATTTTCGCCA